AAAATAATAATTTATATTTATCTTTATAACAATAATAAAATTATTTTTAATATTAATTAGAAAAATAAAATTATTTATCAACTAATATATTTATATTTCAAGTAGTTATACGATATAAGTTATAAAAACTATTTAATATAACACATATAAGTCATAAGTAACACATATCATTCTAGAACATATAGTAATATTTTTTTTTTGTAAAAAAGTAAACTAAATTTAATATAGTTTTCTTATTGATTTTAAAATTTAAGAATAATTTTTTAGCAAACACTCGTGTAATACACGGGTGTTGTACTAGTACAATGCTTAAAACACAATCAACCACTGGCGGATCCACATTAAATAAGTGGGGTCACGGGCCCCCAACAAAATTGTTGTCTTCAAGCTATATTAGTTAGGTAGTCCAAAATAGTACAATTCCTCTAGGCCCAAAATTATGTCCCCAGCCCAAACAGAACAATTCAACCTACATCTAACATCCCAAAATAATAAACTTAATTATTAAAAGAAACAAAAATATTTAGAAGCCCATTAATAATACCAAAAAAAAATTGACGCATATATATATCAGCAGCCAACAACGTCAGTCAATATATCCTCCCTATATATAATTCCCAAATGTGTTGAACCTAAGTGGCAAGCTCGCATGCTTTGAAATCCTAGGTGTCAAAATTTCATGCTTTGTTATTTGGCTTGAATAGATTTTAATTTAATTCCAATCCAAAACTAATTAGGTTCGGATTACCATAAATATGTTGATTTATTTATGATCATTTTAGATGTATTAATTGTGTTTAAATATCATTTCCTATTATAACTACTGCATTGTAAATGTATTTTAAAAATTCATAAATTTTGTATTTCCTATCGGTGTTACATATATAATATATCAAATTAATTATCTTTTGATGAGCTTCGATTCGACATTCATATTGTGTATATAAAATAAATAAATTATATTTATCTTTACAATAATAAAAAATATTTATTAAAATTAATTAAAAAATTAAATTATTTCTCAATTAATATATTCATGTTTAATGTAGTTATATGTTATAAGTTATAAAAATTATTATAATATAACACATACAAGTCGCAAAAGTAACAAGTGTCATACTAAAATAATATAAATATATATATAAAGTATTAAATTTTCAATTACTTTTTCTCATCCTCCTTATATATAATTCCCGAATGCGCTGAGCCTACGTGGCTGCTTCTGGTGCTTCAGAATCTTATTTGGCGAAAAATTATGCTTCGTAATTAGGTTTGGACAAATAATATTAATATATTAATAATTAATAATATAGGTTCGGGTATTCCATAAATATTATTTAGATAATTTAGGTATTTTAATATCACTTTTACTAATATAACCCTTTAATTCTTTGTAATTTTACATAATGAGACACTAAGTGACTAATATATCCCTAAATTTTGATTTGCTTCCTTCAAGAAGCTATTGAATTATAAATGTATTTTAAAAAGCAGATAACTTTTGTATTTCTTATCGGTTTTGCATATATAATATATCAAATTAATCATCTTTTGATTTGATGATCTTCGATTTGACATCCATATTGTATATATAAAATAAATAATTATATTTATCTTTATAATAATAAAAAAATAATAATATTTATTAAAATTCATTAGAAAAATTAAGTTATTTTTCAATTGATATATTTATATTTAATGTAGTTATATATTGTAAGTTTAAAAATCGCCCCTATATATAATTCCCGAATGCGCTGAGCCTACGTGGCTGCTTCTGGTGCTTCGGAATCCTACTTGGCAAAAAATCATGCTTCGTAATTAGGTTCGGACAAATAATATTGATATATTAATAATTAATATCTAGGTTCAGACATTCCATAAATATTATTTAGCTAACTTAAGTATTTTAATATCACTTGTACTAATATAACCCTTTAATTCTTTGTAATTTTACATAGTGAGACACTAAGTGACTAATATATCCCTGACTTTTGATTTGTTTCCTTCAATTAACTATTGAATTATAAATGTATTTTAAAAGTTGATAACTTTTGTTTTTCTTATCGGTTTTTATATAATATATCAAATTAATCATCTTTTCATTATCTTCGATTTGACATCCATATTGTATATATAAAATAAATAAATAATATTTACCTTTATAATAATAAAAAATAATATTTATTAAATTTTATTAGAAAATAAAATTATTTCTCAGTTGATATATTTTTGTTTAATGTAGTTATATGTTGTAAGTTAAAAAAATTATTATAATATAACACAAGTAAGTCACACAAATAAAAGTGTCATACAAACTATATAATAATATATATTTTTATAAAAGTTATTTGAATTTTCATCTACTTTTTCTCAATAATTTTAGATTTTAAAGAAAAAATTAGCAAGCACCCGTGTAATACACGGGCGTTGTACTAGTTAGTAAAATATAACACAAGTAAGTCGCACAAATAAAAAGTATCATAATAAATATATAATAATATATATTCTTATAAAAGGTATTTAAATTTTCAAGCTACTTTTTCTCATTAATTTTAAATTTTAAGAAAAAAATTAGCAAGCACCTGTGTAATACACGGGTGTTGTACTAGTTAATTTTTCGTTGAATCTAAATGGCACTATCCCTATTTGCAAGATCTTTCGTTGAATCTAAATAGAGCACGACACAAAGTACGTGATTTGAAATTTTTAAACGAACAATTGTCATTCGTGTGACGATTATGTAATTATTTGTATTAGCAAATGATTGTGCGATTGATTTACATAGTTACATGGAACTAGTATTGTGCCCGTGCAAATGCACGGAACATATAAAAAGAAAGTTGGGATTCTAGAAATGAAGCATAAACCATACAAATAAAAATTCTATACAACATCAGCATGAGAAATAAGTATAAGTCGTACAAATAACTATTCTATATTATTCAATGTTTATTTACATACTTCTATTTATGTGTGTGCTTGTTAAATTTATCATCATAACTAAAATTGTAGTTTGTTTTATTTGT